GCAGTTTTACTTGGGTTTTTACCCGCTATTTTTAGCCACACTGTCTTATTCTTCGTTGCATATATGCACTTTATGGTATTTACCATGCTCTTCGAGCACCCTTGCTCTTTGAGCACCCATGCATTTATGCATTACCTTAGGCTTTTGCCTTACTCAATGAGTAATCATGCACTTATGTGCTCAACACTATTTTTTTGTGTGTTCCTGTCCTACCTTCTTCGCCTCTGTTCTCAGGGTGGCTTTTGTAGTGACATGCCTTTGGCATTTTTTGGCCTCCGCGAATTTTTCGCTAAGCCCTTTTTGCCTTTGGCATTGCCTCTCTTTGAGAACTTCGTCTCGAAGGCCTTCAGCAGTCCGTTGCCCAGTGGGGTGGCTGTCAAGAAGGGGCACTTTGGCCGTTCTTGCTTTGGCCTTTTTCGCCGAGGTTCGGTCACTTACGGATAATATCCGGTCATCCGGAATTATCCGGTGTTCTCTTTCTGTAGAAACCGGACTGTTTATGCCCAATCATAGGTCAGCTAAACAGTCCGTTAATGATCATCTTTGGTTTTGCCCTCGACCACACAAGTGTTCTTCGTCGTCGTTCCTCCCCAGTGCTACCTCTTTATCGTCCCTCTTGACACTATTAATAGTATACTACTGGTACTTAGTAGCTTTGTTTTGCATGATACAGTGAAGCTTGATTATTACTTACTGTTAGTAAGTACTGCATAGTAGTACAGTATGCATACAGTACTACTTAAGTACTAGACTACACTACATCCATATTTCCTCTGTTCCAGGTTACTGCCGACATTTCAAAATTCGCATGTTCCAAGTTACTGGCGATATTTGCATTTCATTGGCTGTAATTCTTCAATTTCTATCAATATCAAACATTTATGACATTTCATTGGCTTACAATTGCTTTAAGCGCTAATTATAAACCAATCTTTTGCGAAAAGTCATGCAATTCCCAAACAAAGTATCATTCGCCCAAATTGAGTGAGGTCTCGATTGTCTCTGTCAATTCAAAGTAAATGTCGGCAGCAACCTGAAACAGAGGAAATATATATTATACAGGCAAATTAGTGTCCACATTGGACAATTGTATTCCCATCCCACCTATGTAAAACTACAAAGAACTGGCACTATTATTGGACATAACTAACGAATCGAAATTGATTACTTCGAAGAATTACCAAAATGTTACTTGAAGTATTATGAATAGCGTACACACATGAAACCGGGGTAATCGCGAGTTTCCTATATTGACTCCCCCTACAAAAATGTATACCGGTAGATAAAATGGCCGCTGCGACAAATATATCCGACAACTATCTGATTGGTTAGGGCTGGTCTGGATGCCACCTCATAAAATAATGCCATAAACCGTTTTGGCAAGTCTTCAAATTTTTCCCAAAGTCTGATATCCCATGAAAAAAAGGAGAAAAGAAGTATCTCCAAATTTGTTCGGGATACCAGCTGAATTTTCGAAAAATTATATTCGATTTCCGATTGAGGTGCAAGACTTCAACGTGAACACAAACCTCCATAAAACACTCGATTCTCAAGAAAATTGTGGCATAAAGTAATGAACTTTGGTGGCATCCAGACGTACAAAATCTCGAAAAATGGAATATTTCGATTTTGCCAACTTTTCTTGGGAAAACGACCATTTTATGCCATTTTTCGTGGCATCTAGACCCGCCCTTAAAAGTAGAAGCCTATTGGCTTTCGTTGGCGGATGTCTCTTCCATGTCAATACAACGACCAAGTAAAGTATCTTGGTTTTTTCGAATATATCGACGTACCGAGAGAGTCCTGTTTGCTGGCGGAGGCTAAAGGTACACTGTCCACGTACTATTATAGTACGTTCAATATTACGTGGAGGAATTACCTTGGTTACTTTGCGCAACACAAGCCACTCATCAGGCATGCTTACCTCGTTCCTTGCTCGCCAACGACACCGAAGTACAGTAAACACACCGTGGACATCGTAGCGAGCGTGACCATTCACTGTAAAGAGCCCTACCGCTGGAGTACATGTGCACTTCTAGATTTACATTGATAACTCACTGGTGCACGAGTTTGCCACCATAGAATAAGTTTGTGAGCTCGTAATTACTTCTCATCGTCTCAATCGACTCTGTGATGAGTGTTTTGTGATACCTGTGAGGTCGCTCGCAACAATATACTAGTAAGTGATCTTAGTAGTTACAGTATTGAAAATAACTGTTATGTTAGTGTTGTGGTGAAAGGGGGCATACATTGAAGGGAGGTAGCAGTTAGTATTATTAGCATCCCCACTGTGCAGATGCTTGCAGTGGGGATGCTTGGAAACACTGTGTGCTAACAAGTACGGTGGTTCACGTTGCGAAAGTAAGTGGATTTGCAGAGCTGGAAAGCGTGGTTAGTGTCGTTTGTTGAATGAGGGGCAATTGGAATCACTACTGGAGGTAAGGTGGTGTTGGCGTAGCTACAGTAAGGTTCAATCAGGACTACCTAAAGCGCAACCATTACTTTTAGCCGCATTCGTACGTTTTAAAAGTCGTAAACGTTATTGTGTGGAATGGGCTACAAAAGGGATCCCACCATTGGTCCCCATGCATCATGGTGGGGCGGCGGCTGACTGCCACCGACCACAACAGTTCTCCTGCTGATTCGACTAGCCGTTTTACTTATGCTGATTCGTGTGCAATGTCGGCTCGGCAGTATTTCAACCAATAGAAAGCCGTACATGTTAAATGTTAGTGATATGTTGCTGCTGCGACATGTGTTCACGTTGAAGTCTTGCACTTCAATCGGAAATCGAATAATGTTTCCATATTCAGCTGGAGGCTGCGGGAAATTGTTAACCAAGGATTAACCTAATTTTCTTCAACTATTGAGAACAGTGGATTGGTGGTTTCAATCCCATGCTGGACAACGTTGATCACAGCATAGAAGCATTCAAGATGGAGATCAGTTCGATATCGGAACATCTGCCGCATCACACCAAACTGCTTCAATCGTGCATTGACAGTCTCATGCCGTGCCATGATTTCCTTTTGACTGTGAGCGCTTTCGGGTTGATATCTTGAGTTTACGAAAAACTCTTGATCCGTGTACCCTCGATCCGCCAATGCCATTTCACCGTCCTCTAGAGCGTGCATGAACGCATTTCGTGCAAGCGATAAGTCTGACCAACTTCCACAGGGAACACCTCCGTTGGCCCAAACGATGTGCCCTGATGTAATACACAATCCAACTTCGTAGCGCAGGCCAGGACCGTGGAACTTGTGGGAATACCATGAGGGGTCGAATGGTGTTGGCTCTTGTACACGGAAGTCAGTACCGTCCAACGAGACAACCATTGTAGCATCTGGTTGGGCACCATCAAATCGGTTCGCCCATATGAGCTATTAATGATGTTATTTAATTGTGATATAACCGATTTACCTTGTCCAACGATGACAGTATCGACACCCAATACCAAGCCCACTTCCTGAAGGTCTTTTCATCGACTCGTGCTATGATTGCGGGCGTTGTTCCGAAGAGTGACCGGAAGCGTCTTTGGTGATTTGCGTTCGGAGTGCCGCTTGTGTGCCTTTGCAGCATTTGGGTTGCATCATGCCAAACATGCTGCTCCACGTTCGTTTGCATTGTCGAAAGTGACGACGGTTACACTATTTCACCGTGAAAAGACACAACACTAAAATTCACACAAAATCTAATTATATTTTTAATATAATTTTTTTTCCTAAAGTGTGAACATGCAAGTTTCCAGAAACTTTGACAAACGTTATATTCTTTTAGCGATTATGAGCTTCGTATTGCATTTGACGCTAAAACGTTTTATATTCATGATAACACAAATACGTTGCACTTGCTGACAAGATTTGAAGCAGAATGAGGCATGTTAAGTACGGTTTCGGCAATGGCGAAAAGCTAGGAAACTTAGGAAACTTCATACTTTGACTGCAAATTTCACTATGGCTACAGGTTATTAGATCGTTTTGATGAGATTTTCCTGGAAAACTTGGTAACGACTAGTCATACCCAAAATATCAAGACCATTGGATGTAATAAAGCATGGTTTCCTGTACTGCAAACTTGAAAGTTTTTAAAGTTTCCTTAACGTCACGTAAAAAATAGTTTTATAAATATTCCGGTAATTCAATAGAAGTACATAGGAGCCTTCACATCAAATCGTACATAACATGAAAAATTCAAATCGACCCAATAGAGTACACATGCAACCGAATTGCGCGCGCAACTCACAATCGCCAAATGGCTCGGAAGTGGACAAGCGACTGCGAAGCTGAGAGAGTACTGCGACAGTTGTTCGAAGATGGCACCGTTTCTTCTGGAAGCTCTCCTGGGTTTGTTCGTGCCCTCGCCCTCGACATCTTCAACCAGTTCAGTGACGCAGTGTTCAACATCCACCTCCGTAAGGCCAAGATGGCTTTCAGCACGTTCGGATATGTCGACTCCATCTTTTCAATCAATCTCACATATAGAGATGAAAAAGACTGTGAAACGTGGTAAAACCACACGGGAAATTGTTCCTTTTGGAGACGGTGATGGCGTTATCCTCAACTCGGCCAAAACCGAGTTGCCTACAGTGCCCTTGACACTAACCACAGCAACGACGACCAGAGGAACCTGGAAAATCCAGGTTATCTCGTGTGCCACTACTTCGACTATGAAAGCGAACAAACCTTTGTTAGCTTTGCTGTCTACTTGATGTGGGGTGTGAAGTCGTGCACAATCGACGTTTTGCCAACCACTGCAGTCATTTCGTACCATTGGCCTCCAGGCCTGACCAAGATCAAGTCCAAGTTTACGTCGGAGCTCGAAAACACGGCGACCAAAGCAAAAACGTATGCCAAGATCCAGGCATTCGCATTTGCAATGCAAAACCACCGTCAGAATCAACAAACATCCCCGATGTCGACCCAGCTGGTTGATTTGCCATTGCCTGTTATTCCTCATTCCTTCGAGTTCAATGTTGGCGTCGACACTATTGACGAGGATGTGATCATCGTTGAGTTCATGGTCCAAGGAAATTCGTCATCTCACGGCAATTTCTCGCTCCAAAAGTAGTAGTTTAAGTCATTTTAACACATTTTGTTTTGAGTTCATCATTTCCCGCAGCCTCCTGGCATCCAGACAACTTCGTAGAGCTCCTTTTCTCCTTTTTTTCATGGAATATGAGACTTCGGAATTTTGTAGACTTGCCAAAATGTTTTATGGCATAATTTTATGGGGTGATATCCAGACAAGCCCTTAGCAAAATTAGAGTTTCAAATTTCAGCGTGACATGCATTACAAGAATTAAAATAATCTTTGATATGCTAACTCAAAATTGACTTTTTTTCACCAAGCAACCACCATTGTGGCTCGACTGTCTCGGTTTCCCATAGAAAATAGATTATATATTTATATCAGCTAATTAAATATTTTCATTTGGAAAATTATTTTATGACCACCTCTGCTGGTGGTATATCTATCTACCTAAGCCCTGGGTGAACGCTTGCGAATTTCGGCATATTAGACCCCATGGCCATGACTACACAATCCCGTCAAGTGAACAACTTGGCTAGCCGCCATCGATGCATGTTTGATCTATGACTTCACATTAGTAGACTGTTTGCCTAAACTCGATATCGTCAAAGATTACCTCAATCTTTCGGACAGCAGATCCGCCGTGTATTGGGCTCCTCTGACATGTGCACAAGCGACACGAGAGGAGCCCAACGCATTATATATTTATTATATCATATTTATTTATGTAATTAATGTATCCAAGGTTGTCGAATTATATGAAATTTATTTCTGTAATTAATATATCCAAGGTTGGCGGTGTACGGTTGGTTGTTGAAATCGACGAGACATCACTAAAAATCCAAATACAACCGCGGAGCCCAGCACCCGACGTTTGTCAAGTGGTTCGGGCGCCTTACGTTCCATGAAGCCAACTTTGTCTGCCATGATCGGGCAGCACATCCGACCAGGTACTCTGATAATGTCAGACAAATTTGGTTCGTACAAGTCGTCGGACGGAAGACACACATTGTCTAACAACCCATTGCTGGCCGGCAAGAGCTATTGCCAGCATTGGGTGAACCATTCGGAAACTTCGTGGATCCAGCGACCGACGCACACACCCAGACGATCGAGGGTGTGTGGGAAGTTCGCGTCAAACGCTTCCTCAAAACAATACCCGGAATTCGAGAGAAGTACCTACCCGCCTATCTGGACGAATTTATGCGGCGCACTTGTTTTTCCCACCGCAAGCGGACGAAAAGCTGTTTTTCACCAGCTTACGGTTACTGTAGTTGATTTGTTAAGTGGGAACTTATGCGACATGACAGTCAATCAAATTGGCAACTAACCTCTTTGTTTAGATATTTCCTAGATTGAGACAAAGAACAAATCAAAGAGGTTATCCTAATTTGCAGGTGCATAAGCTGCTTACACTTGTAAAAGCAAACTTTATGACATGTTGTTTAAAAGTGAATAACTTCTTGCAGGAAACATACCAATACCAAACGAAAGAACAGAATCCTAGTCAATGGTCCATCAAATTTTGATGTGATCAGTAAAATTTAGATGTGGTCAAAAATAGTCAAATAATCACAAAGTGTTTCATTATTTTACAATTTGTGCTGAGCATACCATCCGGATAACTGCAACCGGCAACCCTTTGGCAACCATGGCCCTTCGTGTGTGTGTGAATTGGCATTACTGTACGGATTTCGGGTCACAAAGGGATGTCATTTCAAAAGGCCCGCGCTCCCAGTAGCCGATGGGTTCGCCTCGGCCCGCCCATCGGTATTGCTGGGCCGGATACCGGAGTGACATCCTGACCTTGGTATTCCGATGAGTCACTGAACTCACGACATTCACACGAAGGGTTATGCGATGAATTTAAATGTTCAGGAAATCCATATCCTCGTCATTATCATTCTCGACAAATTCTAACATTCTATCATCTACTAGAAATGCCTGCCAATCACCCTTCAGTGCCAACGACGACTTCATGTTCGCTTGCTTCGTCGTCTTCCAGGTCCTTCGAAAGTTCCTGTAATTGTAGACTTTCACAATCTTGTAGGTTCTCCAAGGAAGTGGAAAAGTCAAACGCGTCAATTTCAGACGGTTCAAAAGGATCAACTTCAGTGCAGGGACGTTCAATGATACCACATTTGCGGAACCCGTTGACAATGGTTGTTTTTGGTAGGCATTCCCAGGCAGTGTTTACCCACTCCACAAGGTCGTATCGGTCAGGCGGAGTTAGCTTGAACTTGCCTTCACGATGGTTTTGGACCTCGGTACGTAAATATTCAACCCAACGACGGCGTAACGCACTTTTCTTAGGCTTCATCCAGGCGACGTCAGCGGGCTGGCAGATCCAGGTAAATGATGGAGGGATTTTTTCCAGAATGACGTTCAATTCTTCCGCCAATTGCACAACTTCATCGGTAAAGTGTGCACTAAAATCGTCCCAAAGTAGTGTCGATTTTCCGCGGTAGTGTCGATTTTCCGCGGCGGTGGCCAAAGTGGTAGGTCAAAAACGCAAGGGAAATTTTACTGTTCCACCACGCGGTAGGATTGCCGAAGATCCTCGAAGGGGTGGCGCTCATGGAGTTCTTCAATTTCAGGCCACAAGGTACGTCCAAAACCGTTTCGTTGGGACAAGTTTTCTTGAACGACTTCGGCAATTTTGGACTCACCCGTTTTGAGAACCAAAAACAATGGATACTTCACGCCATTTGAATCTGCTAACACCATTGCTGTTAGACGATCCTTTTCATGTCCAGAGCCCTTGATCCATACGGTCTTGGCGCCTTGTTGGTTAATTGTCTTTTTTGGTATGTATTCGTAGTTGATACCAGTTTGATCGGCATTGTAAATGGTTTCAACACCCCTTGTAGCTACAACGTCGCGAATGCGCGCTGAAAACTCGGCTAACTTCGCTTCTCCTTGTGCTAGGTCCGCTTGGCCAGCACGGCTCTTGGACCGCATTGCGAAGCGCCAACGTTTCATGCAGCCTTGGATCCAAGCATTGCTGGCTTTGAAGTCGTTGGGACCAAACCCCAAGTCTCGGGCAACCTCAAGCGCGCGTGATTGCAGCAACAGATTGCTTACGGGGATCCCTTCCGAACGCAGTTCGGTGACCCAGTCAGCCAGGCCTTCCTCAGTAGCCTTGTCCAATGTGGTGGATGTTCCTTGTGGTCGCATAGATTTTTTAAGTCTATTGGACGGTTCGTTGGCAGCCGCCTCAATGGTAGGCCTGCACTGTTCCCAGCGGAAGATCCGCTTCCACGCCGTCTTCCGTGGGGTTCCAGTGAGTCCTGGGAAGTAGGTGTCGAGCGCATCATTTATTGATGTGTCTCTTGCTGCATTGATAATACAAAGTTTCTTCGCGACTGAGTAGGATGTAGTCTTGAAAAAAGGCACCTTCCGGGAAACCTTCTTGATGGACGGTCTCCCAGTCGCATTGCGATGGGCTACTGGGCGTGTCGTGTCGCGCGCCATGAATGCAATTGACAACAAAATTTCGCGCGCACATGGCACTCAATTTAATTCTCGTATACTTGATATTTATTCTTTATGAGAGGTGACTCGTTATGCTGAGGTACCTGCAAATTTGAATATTGTATTATATTGGATTAAACAGTTTTCCAAAGTTCCCACTTAACAAATCAACTACAGTAGTTCAAGGTATTGGAAAAAGTATAACTAATAATACTAAGTACCACTCCGTCTCAAATCACTGACACGTTTGACGTTCGCCACATAGCGGTTTTATGACCAATCATTTGATTTGTGTGAAACTTTTACCAATCAAAAGAGAAGAATCTTAGCCGTAAGGTCATATAATTATATTGCCATTCTTCCAAAAACTGCGTGTGTACTGTATTCTTCAAATAAAATCAGTCACTCAACCCAAAATTTTCATATGTTCACCGGACTTGAAGAATGTATGGAGATTGTCTCAAATATATCCAAAACAAGAGGTTTCTTTGGCTGTATAATTTAATTCCCAGGAAGGTGTCAATGTCACCTAAGTGTACCTATGTCACCTCCCTTGTGATTGGCTCAACAGTACTGGATAAGGTTATCTTTTTAATAAAATTGATTGTTTTCTAATTTCACAACTAATAGAATGTCCAAACGTTTCAGTGATTTGGGACAGAGTGGTACTTTGCACTCATGGCTTATTGCCACTATCTATGCTACCAAAAGACCCATTGTACAGTTCGACGTCGTAGAGTGCGTTTTAGGCTTGTAGCGACACCCGAAGCCACACGGATGGTGAGGTTTTCACCATGCAGTACCTCCACTCTGAGGACCGCACCATGGATCACATCTCGCCTTGGCGCCTAATTAGGTAGTTCTGCTCTTTATGTATTGACATCACATCGTCATCTTTCGTCAAGGATCCCTTACAGCATGTCCACTTCCACGCCTCCGCCACGAATCTACCAGGCCGGCGGATTTGGAGTATACACCTCTGGAATATAATATATGTTTCGCTTTACCTCTATATTCGAATAATATGTTTCTGATATTATTCGAATAGAGAGGTAAAAGCAAAGTTTGAATACATAGGTCAAGGTTACATCTACCTGACAATCAATATGGATCAGAGTAGTACTATCGAATTCGACATACCATCATAGCGCTGGACAATATCTCGTTAGAGCAAATGTCACGACAAAAATTGAACATGTCAATTACGACAAATTTTGAGACTTCTCTCGCGGGCGGCGACTTGCGCGAGGCCCATGCATACATCAGCCGCACCGCCTTGGAGAATAGAAGTTTGAATCGTTCTTCGAATGATCCAAACTTCATGCTGCGCTCGATGGAACCGCAAGAAGCACGACGGCATCGCCACCTTGTCCCGCTCAAGGTCATGTCCTTCGCGAATGACGGACACAGCCCCTGCATACACCACGCAGTGCAGGCAGCTTCGTCACACGTGGCGGCCATGACGGTGCTGAACTTAAACTGCGTGGCGTTAGACATGTCGTACTGTGCAGCTCGCTGGGCTTCCTGCATCGGCAAATTTGAAAATGGGGCAATACCTGACTTGAGTACTTTTCGGTGGGAGTTTTTGGCGGTCAAAGTGCCTTTTTATCCGGATGTATAAGTAATTATCCGGATTAAGTACGGAGACACAAATACTTGACCATATTATATTTGGGACCGGGGACTAATCTTTACTAGTGCCAGAGTTCTCGCCGGAGCAGACGTTGACTTCACGCAAGCACGGTTGAAAGTTGTGTTCCAACGACCAAGGGGCCACGTCATTCCACGCGTTGTTCGTTGAATTCACGATGTTTTCGTAGATGTTCGAGTGGTGCGTCTGTTGAAGCGTTGGATGGCGCAGAAGAAACCAATATCCAACACGTTCAAGGCCGGCGAGTTTGGCGGTTGGTACTTCACCTTCATCGCCCAACAATCTGACATTCACGCCTTGTCGATGTCTGCGTCGCTAGGTGGAACGTGCGGGCGGGCTTTATCCTGCTGGATATAGTCTTCGAGCAATCTACCCGGCCATACCGCCTTGATTGCAGATATGACGTTGTCGATGAGCATCGTCTTGTACACAGTGCGCGTCACGTTAACAGGTCGCAGCTCCATTGTGCCTGCGGGCGGTTCCGCGACGACCGTGCGGCCGGAACGAGTTGTGTAAATCGCCAGGTGATGAACTTGCCATCCAACCATTCTGACTTCGCGTTGTCCCATCTAGGCCGCGCCACCGCAGAGAGGAACATCACCTTGGTGATGAATCGCTTGCTCTGGATCGAACGATGAAGGGGTATTTCTCCTAGCAACAGGTATAGCCGGGATTGGATCCGTGTTGCATGGAACCACTTCTCATTCACGTATATGTAGTCGTACATATCATGGAACGCGTAAGTGTCGCTAGGATGCACAAGGTCGATGGCTTACTTGACGCGAGTAGTCTTGTTCACATCTGTTAGATTGCGCTTGACATGAGAGTTGTATTTCATCATTAGACTACGTTGTGGTAGTAGTCCTTGAGGGTGCTTGGTGGTATTTCGATGGCATAGGCAACGTACATGAGTGTTGTTCGCTGCGACGCTGGAAAGGCACGTACGTATACGCACTGGGAGGTCGATGTGTTTACGCCCGACACGTCCTATTTTTAGGCTTGCTATGTTCTCACATATCATTTCGCCATGGGCGCTAGTTGTCTCCACTGTTGTGACACGTTGGCAAGCTATCATGCAGTCCGCGCCACATACATAAAACAAGATGATATTTTGGGATAACTATTCCAAATATTGTCCGTTTTTGCTCATATTAGCACCAATCTGACCGTCTTGATTGGGCGATCGATTGCCGCTTGAATTAGGGCAAAACGAAATATTAGACAGATTTCGCAAACGTCAGTTCTATTTTATCCGCAACCTATGCTCTCAAATTCGATAAGGATAGAACTGAACCTGTTATAAATAATTAAAGCCGCTGTAAAATTTGCCAATTTTGCAGCGGATTCCCCACTTGCTGTATTCGCATAAATGGTGGGTTTTCTGTGTAACCTGATGCGCTTGTGTTTGTTTGATCATACTTCAAGTATTGTGCTTTTCATCCATTTTGCCCATTGTTTTATCGAAGAAAGGACACAAGTATGTTCAACCAATCAGAACTCCAGCGTGATTCAATATTAGACAGATTTCGCAAACGTCAGTTCTATTTTATCCGCAACCTATCCTCTCAAATTCGATAAGGATAGAACTGAACCTGTTATAAATAATTAAAGCCGCTGTAAAATTTGCCAATTTTGCAGCGGATTCCCCACTTGCTGTATCCGCATAAATGGTGGGTTTTCTGGTCTAACCGGATACGCTTGTGTTTGTTTGATCATTCCATCCATGGCGACAGCCTTGGGGTGGCGAGGTGAATCGCATTAACGTTAGAGTCTCATGAGTATGTCATTTGTGGTAGAAGGACGTCGCTCTGAAATCGGTGTCCTCACATACTCTCGAAGGACCTCACTACATTGTCCCGGCACGAGAATGACGTGAAGTATTTCGTCGACCTCGCGGGCGAAACCCCGAAACCAGATTATCTGTACAATGATGCTGCAAGCGGGTAGGATGGTAACGCTTCATTGGTGCTGGGCGAGAATCCAACTAGTAAGTTCAAATCCGACTGCAGGCGTACAAATCTCCAAGGCCATTGAAAATACTATTTTTTACTTATTTGTGCTCAAGAGAAAACAAGATCATTCATTTCACAGGGACTTATGGACTGACATGTGAGTTATTTATTTGTGCCTCCTGCCCGGTTGAATTATTTATTCCCCCCTGCGTCCGGAGCGAATGAATTATTTAAATAATTCAAAACAACCTTTTAAAAAATATTCAATGGGTATTGTATGCTGTTATCGGAATGAAATGAACTTGCTATAGCTCGTTACTATATAGTACTGTACTAGTACTACGTAGTACTTCGAAGTACCTTGCACGATTTTCTGCAGAGTTCACATTTGAGACCAACAACTAGTTTAGTCACAACGGTGGTCGCCAACGGCCCCCTTTGTATAGAGAAGAATCTTGCGCATACATTCTTGACGTTGGGGCAATAAAGCGGCAATGAAGGAATAAGCTCGGCATAAGCCATACCACGGAGGGCGTTCAAAGCTGCCGACATCAAAGGCAATACTATGTATTACAGTAATGCGCCGTGGTTAGAGGCACTTCCAAAATTCGGCTAATCAATAATATTGAACCACGCTGGAGTCCTGATTGGTTGAATATACTTGTCCTTTCTGTAAGAGCCAATCAAATCCATTCAAAATTGGGTTAGCCAATAGCGTCGATTCGTGATTCGATTCGGTTCGACGGGGTCTGGAAGTCTGTACCGAATCCACAATACTAGTACGTGCTGTACATGTATGTACATGCAGTTAACTTTTGCCGTTCAATACATACTTAGGGCCAATCGGAGCTTTTCATACTAACAATTGGTCCAATAAGATCATTGAAAATGCCTACGAATAATTTGGTCGAAATGAATCATTTATTTTATGGCTTCAAAAACCTGAACAAATTATTTATATACAGAACAATTGTAGATTATTTACTCAAGGACTGAATAACATAGAATAATTTATTTTATTTAAATTATTGAATAGTATTCTTTTTAGATTATTTTTTGAAGGGCCTTGCAAATCTCGCCTTTGTATGCGTTGGAACCGAGGAACTCCAGCCAGCATCATTATTCAGGGATGATGGCCAAGAATAATAACCACGTTTGATTGGATAACGATTGAAATTTTCCTATGCGAATTAACTGTTAATTCACGGCCAGAAAGTCACTTGAATAATGTACGCCTGATTTGGGTGACAAAATCCTCAGAACCTCTTAATAATGATATGTATAAAGTGTTCAATAAATTAAATTTAGAGGTGCAGCTAATATAATAATTGTATTATATACTATCATAGTATACGACAAGCATAATATTAAATCTTACAGGTATTTGATACAAGAGTACGTAGTTTTGTCCAATCATAGTCCATGGATGACCATTTGCTGGCCTGGAATTACATGAATCACCTTAGAGCATCTGCACCGGCACCAGTAAATTTCACCCCCATTATCCGGATAACTTGTTCGGATACGCGAGTTACTGGCGCCAGTAAGGGCAAATTTTACTGGCCTCGTTTTGGTTACGCACCGCAGTCAGTAAAGGAGATTGATTGCACTTGCTTCGTGATGGATTCGGCTGCATGGGACTCCGAGAGCGAAAGTAGTGGCGATGATGACGTTGTCATCGCCATAGTGCTGTGTGGGTTAGTCGTCGCAGCGCAGAAGAAGGAAGTATGTAACAGAGGCTCCAACAAGGGCAAACGGCCAAAGATTGACCGCAACCGTGCTCAGTACGACCTACTGCTGCGTGTAGACTACTTTGATTCCGAGCCTACGTACGACGACAACCATTTCCGAAGGCGCTTTCAAATGCGGAAGAGTCTATTCCTGCAAATTGCGAACGATCTGGCACACCAGGACCCTTACTTTTAACAGAAACCTGATGTCACAGGTGTATATAGTACATAACCAGCAGATATTCATATATAGTCAGCAGATATTCATATATAATCGGTGACATAGGACGCCAAGGTTTTTCAACATTGCAAAAGGTTGCTGCATGCGTCCGATACCTAGCGACAGGTTGCTCGATAGACGACCTGGACGACAGGTATTTTAGCTATTTTGCTACAAATATAATTACACAAATTCAAAAATAATATGAACTTGAATTCACAGTCAACGGTTTGTTAGATATAGAATTGGAGAGAGCACTATGCGTCAAGCCTTGCGCCGATTCTGCTCGGGGATTCAGTCGCTTTACAAGGACAGCAGCCTACGCGAACCTAATGAATCAGACTGCCAAAGGCTATTGCGCGACGCTCAACGTGTTGGTTGGCCTGGAATGCTGGGGTCTCTCGATTGCTCTCATTACGCGTGGAAAAATTGTCCGAAGGCGTGGGCTGGGCAATTTCAAGGTGCCAAAGGCCGACCGACAGTAATATTGGAGGCTATGTCCGACATGCGAGGACGCATTTAGCATGCGTACTTTGGCATGCCTGGAGCAAACAACGATATCAACGTCTTGGTCAGTTCAAACGTATTTCATGCTTCGATTGGAGGTGCAATAATAAATTTTTCAAGTTAATGATAAAATATTTAAACTAGGCAATAATAGGATGGCGTCCTCAAGTGCGATACAACATAAATGGAAACACCTACAAGGGCACCAAATTGGCTCGTGGATGGAATGTACCCTCCATACTCAGTCTTTGTAAAAACGATACCCAATGCGATGTCGCTCCGGGAGAAAGCATTCCAGAAAGCCCAGGAGTCACGCCGCAAGGACGTTGAACGCATGTTTGGCATGCTGCAGGCTCGTTGGCACGTGCTAACACGACCATGTGAGTTGTGGGATCGTTCTGCTATTCATCACGTCGTAATTACGTGCTGTGTATTACACAACATGGTCATTGATGACGAAATGGACGACGACAGTTGTGATCTCGAATTTTTAAACGACCTCCA